ATATATTGCTGGATCCCATTTGCTAACATTTCGCTGAGAATTTTAGCATCTGTGTTCATCAGGGATATTGGCCTGTAATTTTCTTTCTTTGAAGTGCCTTTGTCTAGTTTTGGGATTAGGATAATTATGGCTTCATAAAAATTCTTATCTTTCCATGAGAGGTGTGTTGGCAGTGGTGGGGTGGCAGAAGAGTTTTTGCAAAGTTGAGTTTGTTCCAAATAGCTTGAGAAAGCAGATAATAAATATATTTGTTGAAAAATGTGATGAATTACTTGTAGGAAATGTTGGTCTATGGTTACTTTATTCTATAGCTGGAAAACAAAGGAGAAGATATTTTCTCCAAACATCTACCTTTTATGAATTTACAGCTTCTGGAACTGGTGTTTTCATCTGTGATGTCTATTTAGATTCCAATTCAGCTAACATTTATTGAGCATTGCTATGAGCTAGAAACTTTAATGTATTACTAATTTAATTCTCACAAAATCCCTGGGAGGTGGGAGTGATAGAATATCGATAATTTAGGTTTAGAGAAGCAAAGTGCTTTGCCTGAGGTCATAGCCACTTTCTTATGGTACTGTGGGGATAGTTTTTAGATTTTTTATTTATTTATTTATTTTAGATTTCCTCATTGTGGTGATGTTAAATACAGCATATGATGCTATGATAGCTGGTGTTTTGATTGAATCCAGAGCAATGCAAATGGTTAAAAAAGTGCATATTTTACTTATGCACACTTCAAGTTCACGTTCCCTGGTGCCGCTTTCGTTGCAGGTGATGCTTTTTAGTCTCCTGGGGAACTGAAAGTAATTAATTACCAAAAATTAACTGTGTGATCACCAACAGTGGCCTCTTAAACAGTGAAAAATGGGTAGAGTTCATTGTTATCTCTTATTAACCAGGGTCACTGGAAACACAGCCCCAGTTTCCATAACACACTCTGTGACTCATAGCAACCCCGGACAGTTGTCTAGATGGAACTTTGGACAGGACCTGCGAGTTTTATATTAAAGTGCATCTTTCTTCCTCTTTCTGTATGAGACCAGTGGATATATCTCTCCTTCTTTGAGCAGAAGAGACTCATTTGAAGGAGTTTATTTCCCAGGGGGTATCACTTGGCTCCAAAGCTCCAGTCTTTACTGGCCCTACCCTGAGTGAGTCTGATCTCTATCAACATGACTTTTTCCCTGTTACAGTTTTCTGGTCTGAAAATTCCAAGAATCTATGACCATGTAAAGAATCTGCTGTCTGCAGAAAATCTGCCAAAGCTAGCTCACAATGTAAAACAAACAGTTACTGATAAGGTGAGGGTGACTCAGTCTATGGTATCAGGAAAGGGACCACTTAACCCATAAGTAATGTGAAATGAAATGTTAATTTTAGAGAGCTTGTAAACTGAGAGATCATGTAATGATAATAGTATAACAAGCAAAAACTAAACTACAAAAGAAACTTGAAACATTTTCTCCACCCTAGCTTGGTTTTCATCCTCAGCCCAGAGCTTCCAGCTCCTAACACTGGGACCACTTCACCGTACCTCAGAGGCTGAATCTGACCTTGGCCTCTAGGATATCTCCTGACAGCATTCAAGGCCCTCTTGTCTGAAAATTCTTTGTTTATTAACTTTGCTGTCCACACAGTCTCAAGGGCGATCATGGCATAGTGGTTACTAGCATGTGTTCTAGACACAAAGTGCCTAGGTTCAGATACTGACTCCACCATTTATTAGCCCTATACATGATCTTGGGCAGTTCATTTAATTTTTTGTTGTCTTTGTTTCCTTATCTGTAAAATGAGTAGAGTAAGTGTCATGAGGATTAATTGAACTAATGTACATAAATCACATGGTGGAGTGTCTGTCATTTAGTAAGTACTCAATAAAAGTTACCTGTTCTTAATATCATCATCACCACCACCACACAGGCTTCTGCTTTTTCATCTGCACCATAATTCTGTCTCAGTAACTCACTTCCACATCTGGGCCCTGTGAGCCTTGCATTTCTCTTACCAGGTCCCTCTCCTTTCCAGGAAGTAGTGCCCTACTTCTAACTGGCAGCTTGCCTGTCATCATGTGGGTCCCTGCTCAGGATCACCAGGGTACCTTGTTACTTCCTACTGTACCTCCCCATGCTAACTGCTAGTTGGATAGTCAACCTTTGGGCTTGGCTGCTTCCTGACAATTGTAGGCGACCCCCTACTGTGAAATGAATGCCACCTAAGTCCTCCTGCCTCAGATTGTGCTCAAATATAAAGTACTGGTTGATAACCAGAGAAAGGGGATCCTGAATGACCCATCTATAACTGGTTGGCTTGGCAGATGCATATGAATGTAATCAGCACCAGGCAGGAGTGAGACAGTGAAACACACCATGAGGTTATAAACTAGAAGCACATGTGAAGTGGCTAAGGCCAGATGTGTTTGGGAGAGCTCAACTCTGATATATATTTTATTATATAATTATTACATATTTACTGCAGAAAAGTTAGTATAAATAAACCAAAAGTTAATTGTGAAGAGAAAATGTTTATAACTCACCTTCTGGAGATAACACTTTAAACTTCTCTCTCTCTTTACACACACACACACACACACACACCACATAATCATTTTAGCACTTTTTTCACTTAATGTGTTGTAGGTAAAATAGACATTTATATCATCAAATTCTGAACAATTCACAATGATTCTGATGGTTCATGGGTTCAGAGAAAGGGATTAAGCAGACTGGCCAAGTTTTTGTGGTCTGCAGCTTCCAATTCTGGTAACTGGTAACTGCCAGCAGGTTGATTAAGGGTAGTTTCTTGCTGAGGCCTCATGGCAGAGTAGGTTGCTTTACATAGATGTGGTTATTTGAGAAAAGGACATTTAGCCTACTTGCTCTGGTCTGGTTTCCTTAGAAAATCTGCCACCCAGCAGTTGATCTCTTTTTTTTATAGCCAGAGTGGGTGACAGTGCTCTGGACTCTGTCTCTGATCACTGTGCAGCTTTTGGCAAAGTATGTCACTTCTCCAGACCTCAGTTTCCTCAAAGGGGTTGGAATTGATTCTCACAGCTCTACCACTTTATGATTGCATATTACAGAATTTGGAGTGAAATTGAGGTTTGGGTGTGACTGTGCAGTCTGGTATCAGGAAAGGACTCACTTAACCCATAACTAATGTGAAATGAGAGCAAGTCCAGAATCTATTCCTAGGCCTTTTCCCCCACCCTCTCATGGTGTGAGGCCAGAAAATCTGTATTTTGAGCAAAAGCCCTGTGATTGCTTATGGTTGCAAGGATGATGACTTCTCTCAAGCTGCCCAACTTGATCACATCCTAGTTGAATTCTGATTCTGGCCAAAAGGTTGTAAAAGGTATTAACACCAAATCTTCCCTGACACCTGGCATTCGACTTTGGGGCCTCCAGTAGCATGGCTTCCAGAGCCCTTCTGGCCTGTCAGCTACTCACTGATGTCAGAGCTCATTTTTCCCCCCAGTCTCCATCATGTTCTACTTTGCATGGCTTTTTGCTCCATGGGTTTGGCTCAGGCTGCTGCAGGGTTGCACCAGCAGCCTCCCCGACTGCCCTTTGTTGAACAGGAGATGCTCTCCTCCTACCTGGTTTCATTCCTTTTCCTGTTCTCTCATCTTCCAGGAAACATGGTGTTTCTGATATATACAGTTTATTCCAAAGACTTCTTATATACAGGGTTTTAATATTTAAAGGCCAGATTCCTTTCTTCTCCTTCCTAATTATTAAAACACACACTCACACACACACACTCCACACTTAAACAGAGTGTAGCTAGGTTTAACAGTGCTTGATCAGCCCTGGCTGGCTTGCCTCTGTGGATAGAGCATCAGCTAGGAGACTGAGGGCCCTGGATTTGATTCTAGTCAAGGGCACATGTCCAGGTTGTGGGTTTGGTCCTTAGTAGGGGGCGTGCAGGAGGCAGCTGATCAATGATTCTCATCATTGATGTTTCTAGCTCTCTCTCCCTCTCCCTTCCTCTTAGAAATATATATATATATATATATATATATATATATATATATATATATATATATACACTTACATACATACTTTATCCATGATTTGGATGAGAGATCCTGATCTTACTATCTTACTTCACATTTATGTATTTTATGTCACTCTTTGCTCTTTTGTAGTATTTACAAATAAGAAATAAGCCATAGGGAGCTGATTTTTTTTTTTTTTGACTAGTTGAGAATATCAGAATCACCTGGATAATTAGATAAATACATATTTCTGGATCTCATCCCGGACTTACTGAAGAATAAGCCTTGGGAGAGGGATGTAGGAATTTGCATTTCCAGGAGATCTCTGGGTGATGCTTTTGTATGCTAAAGGCTGCGAGGTCCTTCATTAGGTGGTGGAGAGAATTTAGACCAGAATGTAAACAAGGTGGGGAGGACACTGAGATGCAGCCTGGTAGGGACCAGACTGCTTGGAGTTAAATCCAGCCTTTGTCCTCGCTGGCTGTGTGGCTCCTCCATGTTCAGTTTGCTCACCTGTGAGAAGTCTGCAAACTCTATCTGCCTCATTGATTGTTGTGAGGATTAAATGAGTCAACATGTTTAAAGCAGTGCCTGCACAGGGTAAGGGCTCTCTCTATACATGTTTTCTGAGAATATTATGCTGTACACATGAATGGCATGACCAAAAAGAGAAATGGATGACCTCTAAGAGGGAAGTGAGCAGACCAACTTGTCAGGAGCAGAAGGTTTAGGTTAGTGGTTTTCAGATTCTAAAACTTAACTGGGGAGTTGCTAAAAATTTAGTGTCTTTAAAAAGATTCTGATTTAGTGAACTAGGAGTGAAGCCTTAGAATTTGTACTTAAAATGTTTGATGTAGGTAAAATCAGCACATTTTCAGAAGTCCTGGTTTTGCTAGAGGAGCACTGGTATTTAAAGTTGGAGCAGTCTCCTGGGATTTGACTGGGGCTACAGAAAGATATATGTGGACACTAATTGCATATTTACTATTTGCTTTATTAGGTGTGTCCAGAAAGCAGTAGGAGTATTCGGGAGGTACAGTGTGCATCCTACAACAACAAGCCATTCATGGGCCGCTTTTATGAATGGGAACCATTTGCAGAAGGTAAGTATAAACCCAGCCCTGTCTGTAGGAATTATTTTTGTTTGTTTGTGTGGTTTTTTTTTAATCCTGTTGCCTTCAGGTTGATGCTGGAGGAATTGGTCATCCTGACCAGAGTGGCAATAGAGGAGGGAATATGACCATTGGGCAGAGCGGAGCTTGCAGAGGTCTTCTCCAAAGGTAGACCAGCTCAGGTGATCTCTGGACCATCAGTCACATGGGTGAGACATTAATAGAACAAGCAGAATCTGAGGAGGCTGGGTGAGTGTGTCAGGACAGGGCTTGAGGGGTATGGGTTAGAGCAAGAGGTTCAAACTAAGGTTGTGAGGAGTGAGCAGAATAGAGTTCCCCTTTTCCTTGATTTCTGCTGCCAGGGCTGGTGTGATGGCTTAAGAAAACTGCAGGAATGCAGCGTTAGCATTTGTTTGACTTTCCTGGTTGGGGGAGAGGAGCCTCACATGCTATTTCCAGAGATGAAATGTGATAGGCAGGCATTGTCCATAGACCAAGGTTCCTGCTGTTTCAAACTGACAGAAGATCCAATTTTGGTAGAGCTTGTCAGTGCTTCTCTGGGTCCCAGAACCATTTATCTTTGTTGAAATCCAGATGTTAGCATGGGTTTTGGATTGAGAAGTGTTAAATTTTGAGCTGTTTCTTTCCATCACAAAGAAAGCAGGCTCCAAAGTTGTACTGGATTTTAAGCATGAGTCTTGGGGAAATTTATTTTTAACCCTAGATTTAACATTTAACTTTTTCATTTTAGAAAGTTATATATATATATATATATATATATATATATATATATATATATATATATATGAAATTTGTGTACGGGGGGGAGAAGGGGGTCTCAGCCCTGCCTGCCTGAAGCCTGTACCCTCTCCAATCTGGGACCCGTAAAGGGATGTCTGACTGCCCGTTTAGGTCCGGTCCTGATGGGACCGGACCTAAACGGGCAGTCAGACATCCCTCTCACAATCCAGGACTGCCTGCTCCCAATCACTCGCCTGCCTGCCTGACTTCCCCTAACTGCTTTAGCCTGCCAGCCTGATCACCCCCTAACCACTCCCCTGCCAGTCTGATTGACGCCTAACTGCTCCCCTGCCAACCTCATCCCCCCAAATTTCTCTCCCCTGCAGGCCCGGTCACCCCAAACTGCCCTCCCTTGCTGGCCTGGTTGGCCCTAACTGCCCTCTCCTGTAGGCCTGGTCATCCCCAACTTCTCTCCCCTGCAGGCCTGGTAACCCCCAACTGCCCTCCCTTGCTGGCCTGGTTTCCCCTAATTGCCCTCCCCTGCTCGCCCAGTCTACCCTAACTGCCTTCCCCTGCAGGCCTGGTCACCCCAACTGCTCTCTCCTGCAAGCCTGTTCCCCACAACTGCTCTTCCCTGCAGGTCTAGCCCACCCCAACTGCCCTCCCCTGTAGGCCTGCTTCCCCTAAACTGTCCTCTCCTGAAGGCTTGGTCCTCCTCCAACTGTTCTCCCCTGCAGGCCTGGTTGCTTTCAACTGCCTTCCTCTGCTGGTCCAATCACCCCTAACTGCACTCCCCTGCCAGCCATCTTGTCGTGGCCATCTTGTGTCCACATGGGGGCAGTCATCTTTGATCAATGTGGGCAGCCATCTTGTGTGTTGGAGTGATAGTCAATATGCATATTACTGTTTATTAGATAGGATACACAGACACACACACACACACACACACACACACACTCTGAGTGGCCAGATTATTATGATCTATGAATGCATAGTAATCTGGCCATTCAGTGTATATACCATATAATAAAAGGCTAATATGCAAATTGTCCCCTTGACCAAGAGTTCAACCAGCAGGCAGGCTGGCCAACCACTCATGTCCCCTCCACCTGGCCAGGCTGGCCTGACCAGCCATGCACAAATTCATGCACTGGGCCACCTCTAATATCTATCTATCTATCTATACACACACACACACACAAACACTGAGTGGCCAGATTATTATGCATTCAGAAATCATAATAATAGGGCCACTCAGTGTATATTACCATAATAATAAGCTCCTATATACCCATCACTTAATTTCAACAGTAGTTGCTCATGCCAGTCATATAGTATTGTTCATTGGTAGATATATTAATTAGAACTCTTGATTGTGTCAGAAATCCATTCCAAATGGATTTAAATAAGAAAGGTATTTTGTTGGTCATGCTGTTGGGAAATCCAAGAAGTGGACTGGGCTTGGCACATAGATGCATTCAAGGAATTGAATAGCATAGGACCTTTTCTTTCCGGTCTTTCTCTATCTCGTGGTTCTGTTTACTTCTCTGGTGTGTGGGCAGGCTTACATGGCAATCAGTGGGAGAAACTCTTATTCATTTAGTGTTATGAGTTCATTTGTGTCCCCCCTAAAGTATATGGAAGTCCTGTTCCTGGTACCTGTGACTATGATCTCTTTTGAGAATAGGGTCTGTAGATGTAATTAAGATGTAACTATAAAGGAGGACATAATGAAGTAGTGTAGGCCTTTAATCCAGTATGATAGGAACCCTTGTAAAAAGACAAGAGACTAGAGACATACACAGAAAGGAGAATAGCTGTGAAGTCCCAGGTACAGAGATAGAGGGGAGATGTGACCATGCGATGACCCAAGCAGAGGCTACAAGCCAGGAACTGCTGGCACCATCAGAAACCAGGAAGAGTCATGGAAAGATTCTTCCCCACATGGCCCTGCCACCACCTTGCTTTCGGATTTCTAACCTATAGAACTCTGAAAGAATAAATTCCTGTTGTTATAAACCATCCCGTTTGTGGTAATATGGTATAGTAGCTTAGAAATCTAAGATGCCCAGAGATGGTTTCAATTCAGAAAAAACACACTATGATCTTGTTTGGCTCACATTCCCGTCTCTGGACTTGAGTTCAGACATGGGAGTACTTGGACTAGCTCAGGTAATGTGACAACCCTGTGGTTGGTGACCCATATCACCTAAAACGGAGCCCTGGGGAAGTGGGTTTTGGGACAGACTGAAAAACAGAATCTTCTATGAAAATCATTATATATTTCTTGATCACTGAAATTTTGAAGGAGCCAATTAGAATCCTTATGATTCATAACATAAAGAAAAATGCAGAATAGCAGCAGATTAGAGAAATTAACTGTCTTCTACAATGTGTTACTTTACCTAGATAATTCAGCATTTAAAAAAAATATTCACTGAGTTTTAATGTTTCACATGCCTAGTAGAGGAGGGGCCCATGGCCACTGAAGTTGCATCAACTGTGGCTTTGTTTAAATAGTTACTTTTGCTGCTAAGACTGTTTTCTTGATTTTGTCCTTCTTCCTCTGAAATGACCCGTGGGAGGAAGATGCTGTTAATGTTTCTGCAGGGTGTTCATACTTTATGGCTGGATTTTTGCATGGGCTCTTGGTTTTGTTTGGATATCTATTGCTATTTGCATGTAGGGAAAACAGCTACACCCATTTGGTCCAAGGGCACATGGAATAGTAAAAGCAGAGTTCACTCTCTGATAAACACATTAATTTTACCACATGCTTTTTCTTAGGCCTTTAATCACATTTCCTGTGAATGGTCATCTATCCCCAGAGAAGGCTTCTAGGAATTTTTCTCACAGCCCCAGACCTCTATTGTGAAGATGACAGAGTAGAATTCAGGGGCTGAAGCATCCCTGTTTGCCTAGAACAGTGATGAGTAAGCCTTTCATCCCACTCCCTTTTCCCTCTTAAAACCACTTTGGACAATAAATTTATATGCTCAACTTAGCTAGAATGGGACACTTTAATAGGAAGACTATTCAGGTGCTGCAGTTGGGTAAAATTGTGCCTGTTTCCAGGCCTAGAGTATTGGGTTTGGGCAGCACTAGAGTCCAGAGTTTGCTGAGTTACTGAGGGCTGTACAGCAGTAGGTCTTAACCCATAAAACATGGTTTGGGTAGCTTAAGTACACCAACGAGCCATGAGACTGAACTGAACAGAGTGGAAATCTAAAAGTCGGAGGTGAGGCTAGGACAGAAATTGGAAGTTGCCAGCTGGTCGCATGAATAGGGCCATTGTATCTGTCAGGAGTAACAAGCATATGCTGCAATAACAAAAAACAAACAAACAAACAAACAAACAAATAAAAACCAAATCCTATTGATTCCACAAACAAAAGTTTGTCTCTTGGTATGCTTCATATGTAATGAAGTATGTGGTATTCAGGCTGGTAGAAGCAGCATCATAACTTATGCTTCCACTGAGGCAGGGAAAGGGCAAGTGCATCAGGCATGAGTTCTTAAAGCTTCTGCTCTCATTTCATTGACCAAAGCATGGTGCATGTCACACTTTACCTCAAGTGTAGCAGGGAGGTACCATCCCACATATTCTCGAAGGAGGAGAAATGGAATATCTATGAGCAACCCTAATGACTAACACAGACAGGACGCTTTGATAGAACTTCCTGCATGCCTTCTCTTTCTCTTTAAGTCCAGGTGATTTTTATTAGGCTGCTTGCAAAAATAGTAGATTTTGCTGCAGGGAATATTGAAGGTGCCAGTCTCTATGAGCCACAGGGCTCTGAGCCACTTAGATCAAGTTCTTCTCTTGATTAAAGCTCTGAGTTGCAGAGATGGAATGTGGTCCAGGTGTCCAGATGAGCTTCAGATTTCTCTACTAGACCAGCAGTCTGCCCTGGCATGGATATCATGCTGGGTATGGGGCAAGGATGCAAAAAAAACAAACAAACATGGAAATTATCATCAAAAGTGTGGTGCATGATGGAGGAAGCCTGGGATAAGGAGATTCATGTATTTTTGTTGTTGTTAACCCTCTCCTGAGGATATTTTCCCCATTTGATTTTAGAGAGAGTAGAAGGGAGACAGTGTTCGGCAGGGGAGAGAGAGAGATCAATGAAAAGCAAAGTGAAAGAGACATCATTTGGTTGCCTCCTGCAAGTGCCTAACTGGGGCCAGGGTTTGAACCTGCAACTCAGGTATGTACTCTTTTTTTTTAATATATATTTTATTGATTT